TGACTGTGGAACGCAAGAAAAGCCAGGCTTGGAAGACGGAGAGGGGGATCGGAGAGGGGGATGAGATGGATGTGGTGAGAAGCGGGTTCAGGGGATTAAGACCGCGCTGGTGCAATAAAACGAGCGTCCGATAAGGGGATGCTACGAAAGCGTACCAGCGTTATTCACGAGCACGTCAACAGTGCCCCACTTCTCCAGAATCTGTGGAGAAAAGGGGTTGAACGCAAGGAGCGAAAATGAGGAATACGGATTGAGATCGTGATCAGCGAGGGGTTGAAAAAGGGCGAGAAATGGGGAAGTAGGGTACGCACTCGGAGTACGAGATGAGGAAAAAAAACAACTGCGGGAGCAGATATACTATATTCGAGAAGTTTCCAAAGCGTCGCTACATAAACTTTCCTGACTAAATGAGTCGCTCACCGCTTTGTACATGGCGTCGATCTGTTCATCGCTGGTGACGTCAGCATTGTAAAGAAAGGCGGAGCCTCCTGCAGCCTCAATCTGACAGACGGGGAGATAGGGAGACATGAGACGCAGACGAGGAGATAGGGAGACATGAAGCGCAGAAGAGGATGTGAGATGAGAGTCGCGAAGCCGGGTTAACGCGTCGACGGAGATAGACAAACAATGCAGCAGCGGATAGAGTGACGACGACCGCGTGTACCACGCGACGGACGGGGGAAGGAGGAACGGACAAAAAGACAGTGAGGTCGCCCAGACAAAGGAAATGCGTACCGTCACCGGCTGTACGCACCTCTGCGGCGAGCTCTTCGGCTGGTTCTGGGCTAAGGATGTAGTTGATCACCACCTGTGACGATTCACACAGGTAGAAACGAATGGAAGACAGGTATAAGCGAGGAAAAACGAGGGAGAGAGGGAGAGGAAGAGGGAGGGGGGGAGAGAGAGGGGGTTGAGGGAGAGGGAGAGGGGTATGGATTGTCAAGAGAAGGTGTCCTACAACGTTATACAAAACTACACAAACGAGTACCCATCGATGAGGAGTTACCTTGCAACCAGCCTTGCCGAAGGCAAGAGCAATAGCCCGGCCGATACCGCGAGAAGCACCAGTGACAACGCACACGGGGGCGTCTGCTGCGGCTTCAGCACGCACGGAAAAAGCTGCAAGGAGGGAACATATACAGGCGTAAACCATGCATACTTGAGAGCGTGTGCTTCACGAACCGTTCGAAGAGAATGAGAAACGTTGTTGTCAACTCGACATGTCCTTTTGTGACACTTGATTCGGGATTCATGATCAACAAAAAGAAACTCGCATGACTGTCTTCTGTAAAAAATATATCATAAATGTGTATTTGTACAGTGTATACGAGGGACGAAGCAATACCGCGAGATGATCTCTTCTGGCTGACGTTCGTCGTAGCAGCGAGAGACGAGACGTTAGAGAAAGCAGAGAACGAGGAGATCTTGGCCGACGAGCTGGCGGAGATTGCGGAGCAAGCCAGAGGGACCGCCTTGACAGCGGCCCTGGCGGAAACCGCACCGCTGGTGCAGCTCCTGACTGCAGCAACAGCAGCCATGGCGGTTGTGCAGGTAGCAGCGGCCATTTCCTCTGGTTTCAGCAGATGGAAGGCTAGCAGATGCTGGGAGCAGATTCCTTACTGTCTCTTGCTTAGGCTGGTCAGCAAAGAGCAAGCAAGTCAGCTAAAGAAAGATTTGCAGGAAAGAATGGAAGTGAAAATGAGGAGAAGAAATAGATTTCAGCTGGTCAGATCTGGAGTCTGGGGTTGAGGAGCACTTCTGATCGGGAGCGTACAAGGGGCAAAAGAGACATGAGTAGGAGTGAAGAGGGATCGGCGGTATGAGGAAGTAGAGGGTCAAATCGCATGACAAAAATCAGGGAGCGGTTCGCGGGTGACTTCGCGAAGGAGTTGAAACCGATTTCGCAAAGCGTTTCTTGAGATATCCGCCGTTGACGAATGTAGATGCGATGCGAAAAACCTTCTTGGGATTCTCGTGCCGTTCGTAAACCTCTCGCCAGATTCTCAGGTGAAAGCGACCATCCAGACAGCTGAAAGTGCTGCGGATGCCACATGTCCCGCTGACCTGGCTGACTTATCTGGGGTGTTTTCCGTCCGGTCCAGCATGTCACTCTCAACTTCCAATCTCGAAAATTTTAGGCATGCAACTTCCAATCAAAATGTCGTGGCGGAGATTCGCACATGCCCCAGATCCACGATATTTCACATTTACGGGTGCCCATCTGAACTGCCAGATCTGCTTGATTGCATCTGCGTTACAACCCTATTTGGCTTTTCAGTCGTGTTACGAGTTGCAATGCGGAGTGTTTGACTGTAAAAATGCATTATACAACATGGGTGGAAAACATTCAACCCTAGCAAGCACAGGACCTCGGAAGTCTATGGTTGGTATTTTACAAGATTCCAAATATTCATTTTCCGCTAAAATCTTGACGAAAAAATCGACTTGATCATTTGACAGCCTAAACTGTTTGGTTTTATTTTGTTCTTGCTGTTTTTTCTATAATGTGGATTATCAAGGTAGAGTACTGAACATTGATAAGGTTAGTGTTTAAGTACATGTCTTCAATTTACTGACACTTCACGCTATAGACTGCTTTGTAATAGCAGTATCCGTGCCTTGACCACGCCAAGTCTGACACTTCCGAACCAGACCAAACCAATCAGATGAATGACTAAGTAGGGCATCGACGAATCACAGGGGCCTGCGAGATGTAGGCGAAGCGGGTAAATTCTGTCCGAAGCGCAACTTTGATTCCAGCCGAGCTGCGGGAAGGATGCTGGTTGCCAGCCAAGCACAGGTGGGTGATCCGACCGAGTGTGGTGGGGCAGGGCGAAGAAAGATTATGGAAGGCGAGGAGAGGCGAGGAGGAAACTATCTCTATCACTTCCCAACCCATCCCCTCAGGGGACCCAGCTCGTTCATTCACTGTTCGTAAAGCCCTTCAGTTACCAGATTTTGCGTTGTAACACTGAATTTCACAAAAATGCCAGACACGATCAGCTCCCGTTCACGATACGGCACACCCCCTGCACGTACCTCGAATCGTGTGACGCACGTTACAGAAATCAACGTGCGCATCGAACGATGGTACAGAACCGCGTCCTGCCCACTACAGTGAGTGCCCATCGTATCGCGCGCTCGATTTCGCCAGTGCAGCCTGACACTCGCCAAAACCAGTAGTGGAAGTGTTGGCTTGGCGAAAATTCCAATGCTTTGGTTGACGAGGGAACCGGTTACCTCGTTTCAATAGGCCACTGCACTGTTGAAGTCTGTGTGGGGGGAATGTCCGCGCGCTAGAATTGACAAAAAGGGTGGACTCGACGCAGGTCGTATTCGTTTATAGGTACAGTGATCAGTTTTGAACCCCGGATCGTGAGGAGGTACTAAATTTCCCGAAATGAACGAGCTGGACACGCCCTCAGCCGGAACGACACATGGCGGGACCGCTGCCTGCAATTGTACCACCCCCTTCGCGTGCTTGCTCAGTTCTGCCAAAAAGCCAGCAGTGCGCCGCTCGGAGCGCGTTACGTTCGTACAAGGGAAGAATGTTCGGCCAATATCATTGCTACTCAGATTATGCCAGGCGCGGTTCGCGAACGTAATCAACCGACATTTTTCGGCAGACTAACTACATTTACTGTGTAATCCAGTTTTAAGCACAATTATAAAACAAATCGCCACCAGCACCTCAACCGCACGTACCCAACAAAACAGAAAAAATACTAAAACGCTTGGATATTAACCTTAAGTGAGCCGTCAAGTTTTTAGAACTATGCCTTAAGCTTGGATTATTGCAACGAACAAACAACACCGTCCAGCAGAGATTGCTGCCCGCAGACAATTAAAAATAAACTCTATGCGGAAAGGCATCCAGTCCGGATGGCATCAACCTTAAACACCTTGTCGCATGACGTTTAAGGTTGATGCCTCCGTTACATAACATGCCATTCGATGTAATTTTAATTTTCTTCTGTTCTAGGACTGCAGGTCCATGGTCGCTGGAGGGTGACGGTGCCATAGACCCCATTTTGTTGAATTATTCCCAGTCTGCGTCCTTTTTCCTAATGGTTTTTTTAACGCAATTTGCGCTTGATACAATTTTTTATTTCTTGGGTAGCACATCGACACGATTGTTCATATTTAACTTAGGTAATTGTGTTTTTTTTCTGTCACATTTCAGAGGTGATATTAGCGCTAAAAGTGTGATTGAAAAGCGACGACCAATCAGCAATGAGAAATCGAGGTTGAGTACCGACGCAAACTTTCTCTGGCATACTTTGAGTATCAATGATATTGGCCTAAGAATGTTTGCTCGTTTACGAGTCAGGTTGCGCAATTCTCGCACATTTGTCGCGAATTTACAGCTCTTGTATCGTGGCTCAGGACGTTTGCACACGGTGGGAAGCGGTTCTCAAGGTTTACCGTTTTGCACCGTGACGAAATGAAGTTGAGCGTAAGGGAGTTGTACTAGCCTGTAAGCGGGCTGCTTTCGTTGGACTGGACGGCGAGTGTACCCCCCTGAAGTCCTTGACTCCCCTGTTCTTCACACTATTGCAGGCACTTCATGTGCTTCCCACATGTCTCCGATAGCGGGCTTTCTTCACTCAAACGAGCGCGCATCGTACAGAAGAATCCCTCAACAAGGGATTGCATCGTGTTGCAACCAGATTTCCAGCCATAGCTATAAGCCAAGGCCCATATCGGAAAGCCTTCGGGCATGGCTTGGTGGAAGGCAGGCGTGAAAACGCGTGTGCTCAGAAATCTTTAGATACTACTCTGCCTACTAATTCTTTGGTTCTTCACTTCCTCTGACTCCCATGGCAAAGACTCTCACATCTCGCGTGGTTCTCGGCGTGGGATGGCAAGGCTGGCACAGAAGCCGGCTCGCGACGGTGGCAGCGGTGATGGCGCTGCCGCTGCTGCTGCTGCTGCCGCTGACCGTGGACGTAGCCCTAATCTGGTCGTCGGATGCCAACTCGAGTGAACAGCTCGCGACGATGCTGGGCGAGGTGAGCAGCGAGGCCAGTGGAGTCATATCGTCCGTGTGGGACTGGAATTCTTAGTGCAACCTAATAAAAGTGCACTTACAACAGCGGGCTTCTGTACACTCCGTTTCTTCTTTATCCCCCTCCTCCTCCCCTCCTTACTTTTGCTCCAGTCATCACCCCCCCCACCCCCCCCCCCCCCCCCCCCCGCCCTCCCCTCCACCCACCGAGGCTTCCCATTCAACTCCTTGACTTACCACTCGTTTCACCTACCCCTCCCTCACCACACCCTCACCCCCCTTCCCCTCCCCGCTTCCCGTCTTTCCCGCTCCCCGTTCCCCCCATGCCCAGCATTGCCGCGTTCCGCCCATGCTCTCCGCCTACGACTCCGACGCGCTCGACCTCTCGCAATGCTCCGCACAAGGGGGAGAAAAATCCGCCGTTTCCTTTTCCGCGAATCGCCTTGCCCTGTCCGCGCTACAAGCGGGCTCGAAAACGGCCAACGGCGGCAGGCTGTGCGAGCACCTGGAGGAGAAGAAGCGCTTAGCAGCTCGGCAGCAGGCGCGGCTATGGCCGTGGTCGTCCGGCGGGCGTGAGAACGATCGAGGAAAACGTTCTGCAAGTGCTGGTGTTGCTTCTTCCGCCGGAACGGCGGCGTTGGCGGGAGGGCCGTCTTTCGCCTACGTGACGTTGATCACGGGGAAGAATCTCGTCGCATCCGCGATCGTTTTCGCGCAGGCGTTGCGTGCGACTCGCACGCCGCACCACATCGTGCTGATGATTGCCGACGGAGGAGAAATGTCTACAGTGCCTCCTCAGCTACACGACTTTTTCGATGCGGTTATACGAGTGGAGTGGATCCCGAACCCGTTCAAGGCGATATTTTTCACGAAGTTTCACGTTTGGCGAATGGTGGAGTTCGCGAAAGTCGTGTACTTGGACGTGGATACCCTGCCGCTCGCGAATGTGGACCACTTGTTCGAGCGGCCCGAGATCACCGGAGCGCCTGGGTTCTTCTTGGTCAACCAATTCAACGCGGGTATCATGGTCGTCAAGCCGTCGCTGGTGAGCCATCTACAGTGAATCAACTGATGTGATGTGCTGTTTCGGTTCTTCGGTTGCAGTTGCCGTTGCTTGTGTGGTTCCATGCAGCGTAACGCGTGGTACTCCTGCAGAGGATCCTGCAGGACGAAAGTGGTAATCCTGCAGAGGATCCTGCAGGACGAAAGTGGTAATCCTGCAGAGGATCTTCTCCTCACCAGTCCTTTACATGATCCGCCGACTCGGCCGTTTTCCTCCTCATTAACAATGCTCGTGTTCCTCCTTACCCTTCCCTCTCTCCACCCGCCTCCCTTTCCCTCTCTTTCTCCCTTCCCTTCCCTCCTCCTCTCCTCCCCTCTCGCCCCTCTCTTCCCCCAGGCCACATACGACGCGCTCCTGCGCAGCATCGACGTGATCGGCTCCGTGGATCGCGGCGACCAGGGCTTCTTAAACGCCTACTTCACGAACTACCCCAACCAGACCACGTCGCACCGCCTCGACTACCGTTATAACGCCATGCTGACGTACCCCGACCAGTACCCCCCTCCCCCCTGGTACGACCCGGAAAACGCACACGAGATTCTTGGACCCGTCATGATTCTCCACTATGGCGGCCCGTGGGGGAAGCCGGCAGGGTTCGGGAAGATTAAACCCGTGTCGGGGCCGAATGCGTGCACGCACCGCTGTTGGGAGAAGGGGCGGCAGCCGGTTACCAGGTGGTTGGCGATGTGGTTCGAGTTGTCACAGGCGCTGTTCGCGAATTGCTGGCGCCCGCTGGAAAGGGGGAAAGTGGAGGCGTTGCTGGTTAACGGGTTGCCCAATAAGGAGGACTACGACTGGGTGCGCGTGGCGGGGCGCTCGAGGGGGCTGCTGGGGGAGGAGGCGCAGATGCGGAACGCGCAGGGGGGACGGGTTGGGGGGGAGGTGGAGAGGGAAGAGAGGGGAGGGGAAGTGGGAGCGGTGGGTGATTTGGCAGAGGGAGGGTGGGAGAAGGGGGTGGGGGAGGAGGAGGGGCAGCAGAGGGAGAGAAAGGGGGGGGAGGAGGGGGAGAAGGGGGAGAAGGTGCAAGCAGTTGTGGAGGTTCAGCGAGCGTCTATGTGGAGGCGACCGACCCTGGCAGCGGGGATTGATGTGGGGGTGGAGGATGATGAAGAGATGACTGCTGCTGCTGCCACCGCTGATGATGCTGCTGTGGTTGCTGCGAGGAGGGCGAGGGAGATGGTGTTTGCGACAGTGGTAGGCCCTGCAAATCTGGAGCATGCATACGCGTGGGCGATGTCGTACGACAAGTACCATGACCCTGTTCAGCTGCAGCAGCAGCTGCAACGACAGCGCCGGCAGAACAGGAACAGAGACAGCGGCAGCAGCAGCAGTCTGGCGGAAGAGCAGATGGAAGAGTTGCTTCTGCTAACGCGACACGACACGCTTGTCCTCGCGCTCTCCTCCGTTCCTGAACCAGCGCTCGCGAATCTTCGCCGGTTGTTCACGCATGTTCGGGTGGTGGAGCCGATTTCGGTCTCGGAAGGCAGAGAGACGAGAGAGCTGCATGAAGAGTTTGTCGTGTTGCGTCTTTGGGACCAGGTGGAATTTCGGAGGATTGTATACGTTGACCCGCTGTCGCTTTTCAAGGATAACTGTAACCACATGTTTGGCGAGTTTCGCCCGTTCGCTGCGCCGCCGCTCCGCTTCCCGCCAGACATGTTCTCTACTAGAGTGATGCTGATACAACCACACTCCGCAACTTTCCGTCACATGGTTTCGGCGATCGAGTTGGCCCCCTTGCGCCCGCAGCAGACAGTGTATCTGGACCTGTTTCTGAACGCGTATTATGGGACCTGGTACAAAGAGAACACTCTACACCGCATGCCGTATGAATACGGGATTAATTTGTGGTTACGGCAGAGGTTGCATCAGTACTACCCGCACCCTCGGATCGTGAACTTTGACGGGCTGTCCCCATTGGATACAGAGGATTTGGACGGCTGGAAAGACTTCGACAAACGGAGGGGGAACATGGGGCAGGAGTGGCTGGATCTGCGTAATGCTGCTCTTACTCAGCTGGAGAAATCACTTTAAAGTAGGACGAGCTCCTTCAAGATATATGAATTTGTTAGGAACTAATTCAGAAGTCTAGTGCAGGGAGTCTCGGGGGATTAGCTAGGGACGGGGTTCGGGGGAGAGGGGAGGGGCATGCCTTGGAACGAGTGAGAGGTCTTGGTTTGGTGTCCTGCAATGGTGCCTAGGGTATGGATGGCGGTGTTGGATAGCACTGACTGGAGAATGAGCGCAGGCTGCAAGCAGTCATGCTGTACAGTTGGTGAGGACTCTGGGTGACGGGTTACTAACGACTCAGGAGCCTCTCATGCAAGAGGCGGATCTCCAGCTAGTAAGAACTTGAGCATGCAGCCATACAGAGGACAATAGTACAGTCCAATATTGGTTCTGCGTGCAGGGAGGAAGGGAGGCCGGTGGAGGGAGGGGAGCCTCTGTGGCCGCACAAAGAACTTGGCAATGCCTCTGTGTGTGACCTCTTGGTGTGCTAGTGAGTATGAATAGATTAAGTTGTTGATGCAGGAAGGATGCTGTCAATCCGCACATACTCTCTTGCAAGTCCACCTTGGCAGTGTCACCCCAGGTTTACATTCACCTTTTTCATGGAGGCATATCATAAGTGCCTAACCATCCTCAAGGGATATTCAATGGGTGTCAAAGCTCAAGTGCCTAACACAGGAAACAAAGGAGTTTAAATGGCATTGCATGAATCAGAGGCCCATGAAACAAAGAGCGACTAGAGTTTGACAGCAATATAAAAGGAGAGAAGCTAAGAGACCACATATGTACAACCTACACCCACCCACCCACACCCACTTCAACCTTTCTACCCACCCACACACACAATCATTACCAGCCTACCAGACCACCACCCTCTAATAAACAGCCCATTTGAATACCTACCGTATCCAACCTTCCACCCCCCAGTCCCTCCCTTCCCCCTACCAAAAACCCATACCTACTTCCCCGTGAACCCACACCCACCCACCTCCCCACCAATGAAAAGAATATGCACACATTGTACAGATGCACAGGCACACGGCACAGAGACCAACGCAACGACCACCAGGCGAGCGAGGCCAAATGGGGGCAAGGCGCGGAGACGACAGAGTGTCCATCCACCCAAGACGACCTTTGATGGAGAATCGATAAGTTGCAAAGAGATGCCTCAATCCCGCCATTCCTCCTCGGTTGCTCCGTCCCGATTGCTCCAGCACACCCCTCGTTTCCTACCCCCGCCCCGGAATCCTTGAAACCTCCCTCCACATGTTCACTTCTACACAACCCGCGCCCTCCTCCCCCCCAATAACTCTCCCCTCCCTCCACCGGTCTCCCTTCCTCCCCGCACACCGCTCTCCCTAATCCAGTCGTCACACGGTCGCGTATACTTGGTGTTTGTCACCAGTTTTCCTTCATCACTTTGGCTTTTTCCAGGATGAATTTCCCCTCCTTGTATTTCTGCGGCTCTTCGTACGCGTGCTCGTACTTCCACCCGAGCACTTCGTGGCACTCGGAGCAGTAGATGTCGGCGACGGTGTGTAACCCGGTAATGAGCATGCGATCCTCCGTCGGGCCCACCGACACGTTCACGACGTTCGCGAAGAGGTACGCGCGACCGTGCCGCCCCTGCAAATGGACGGTTGTCGACCGCGTTGTTGACGAAGCGGTTTTTTTTATGTCGTTGACGGTGGTGTTGTTGTTGTTGTCGTGACGTTTTACGGATGCCAAGAAGCCATGGACAAGCGCCACCGTATGACGGATGCATGAGGGAATGCACGGGGGTGGGGAAGCAGGGACGGGGGACGAGAAAGAAAACAGAAGAAAAAGGGAAGAGAGAGAAATATAAGCGAGGGATATGGAGCAACAAAGACAAGATACAGAGACGCTATGGAAACTGGCCCATGCAGAATGAATAACAGCGCAGAGGAAACCAAATCCACCTGGAAAGACTTGGAGATGATTTCGTCGTGGTCTGCCGCATGGCTCCGGCAGTTACTGCAGCTGTAGATGCGGGGGCCCTTCAAATAGTGCTTGAACGGACGCCCCATGACGCCCACCCGCTCTAGCGATTCCGGTCGACGGGAAAGAAAAGGTGCGACGGGAGAAGAAAAGACCGCGGCTGAAGAAGCCGGGGTCTTAAAAAGGCGAGAGAGAGGACACTAGCGTGTGTTGCTGCGTGGGAGCGCGTGTGGCTCCAAACGTATGTTTTCGCGGACTTGGAATTGTTTCTTTCCTGCTGGGCTGATGATGCTTGTGCTGCTGGGAGGAGGAATGGGAAATGACTCAAGAGAGGCGCTAGCACGTGAGGGTTTGCTTTACACGGGACCGAAATCCTAATGGCGAATGGGGTGGAGAGAAGGTAGCAGTGGGCGATGGAATAGGGAGGCGAGGCGAGGGGAATTGACGGCGAGGTGGGGCAATGGATGGATTTCGGTAAGGGCTTGGCTGGTTTGGCTCGGGCGTGGGTTCTTGGCTCGGCTGGAGTAGGGGGGGGGGCGAATTCATTTATGGGATGGATGTTGCCTGGTATGGGTATGTGAGGAGGCATGGGTGGGACTGAGTTTGATGGTTTGGGGGATGACGAAGGAATGGGTCTGGTCGGTTCGGGCTGGATGGAATTTGACTCCCTGTGGTATGACTGGCCGAGAGGATTGGATGGGCAGAATTGTGAGAGGAACATTCCTGCCCTGGCATTCATTTTTGTTTCGTTTCGGTTTGTGACCTGGACGCAGCATGCATGCGGTGCGACCTGGAGGCGCTGCGCGCTGAGCGGGTTTCTGTGGGGATCGGTGTTGACGGGCCAAAAGGGGTTTGCTCGCACACTCGATCATGAAATTCATTGCCTTGTTCTGTGGCCCCTTAACTCAGAGTTAACTGGGTTCGTAGTGGCTTCATTAACTCAATCCTCACACGTGTGTACGTTACAATCACACCGTGCCAGCTAACTCAGAGTTAGCAAATAAGGGTTCCAAATACGCAAAGTAACAACTCAGAGTACGCTCCGTGGGAAGCATGCATCGAATCTTCTTTCACGGGCAAACTAACTCAGAGTTAGTGCTTTCCCTTACTCGGGCTTTTTTGTGAAAGTTGGCTACACTACTCTGGGTACGGCTCGAGAGGGGTTACCCCAACATTGCCCACATTTGGTTCTTTCCAACTAGTCCCCACGCTGTGTTGCGTGAAGTTGCAATTTTTCGCCTCATGGTTACCCTTTCGCACATTTTTTTTCGGAAGGGGCGGCACTTAGGGTTGAGTCAGAAAATTTTAACCAGAACAGCTTGGAGAACCCCCACGAAACTTCCTTCACTCAGAGTTAGGAGGGGCCACAGATCACCAATGTGAGTTACAACTCAAACATTCACACGAGCGTAATGATTAATTGTCGGTGTACTCACCCAAGCCTACACGGCTCGGTAACTCAGAGTTAGCTAACTCTGAGTTAGCGCCACAGAACAAGGCCATGATGTGTAGTTCCATCCATGGCACGGGCTCGCATGGTCATTGATTTTTTCCATGGCATGGGTGAGGCAAGTAAGCCGACGGACGAGCAGCCGAACAATCCCCATCCCCATCCATGGGTGGACGAGTGTTTTCTTGCATACCCGCAGGAGCATGAGGGGAGGGGGGAGAGGGGAGGGGTGGGCCTTCAGGAATGAGGTGTGGTTTGGTTTGGGGTGCTGTTGAGCTTTGTCATTTGGCTCGGTGACAGACTTGGCTAGGGTTTGGAAACTCCGTTTCAGCCCCTGGTTTCTGGCTGGGGCAACGTCATCCTCCACGCACGAATGAGCTGGCTCGGATTGGTTCCTGCTGCGAAGAAGCAATTCGATTCGTCACCTTTGATGTGGGGTCAAACACTCTGGGAGATTTGCTACATGGATTCGACATGTGTGATGTAGTCTGACGTCAGACTAAATTCTGACCAGATCCTCGGGAAGACATGCATAAGTGATTCGCTTGTTCACTCTACGTGTTCTGTTCTCTCCCCAACTGATACAAAGCATACCGTATCTCAGCAATTCCATATACCTCACCCACAATTCCACCTTCCACAAAAGTGCAGCAACACACATTAACACTAGGCTGATCATGGAGGAAAGGTAACAAAATGTACAATGCATGCTAAAGAACCATGACCATATTTTCAAAAAGCTAACGACCATCCCAAACTGATTCACGAATGTTTTCATGGCATAAAACAGGTCTTCAACGCATTCGTTGGAATAGTGCCCATAGCCCCTGCAACTGCAATGCAAATACCAGAGGGTGTAATGTGGGTGGGTGGGCAGGGAAACAACACGGAGGGGGGTTGAGTACTGGAAGGTAACGTACACAATAAGAAAAGATAACCATTTCCAGCCGGCAAACCCAATCCCACCAAGCAATCTGATTACAGGAACACAATCAATGCGTCGTACCTTGGCTCGCTTCTTCTCCCTGCTGATCCGAGCAGCCAGCTTCGGCTGAGGAGTGGGCCAAGCCATGTTTTCAAAAGGGCTGCTGCCGCTGCTGCTCCGGCGGCCACCGTTCTTCTGACTCTGACTGGCTGTGAGCTCAGTGCAAGCAGCTCCTGGGCCTGCTGGGATAGAATCCAACTTTTCGGTACCAGTGCTCCCCTCGCGTAGCTTGATGCTGGCGAGGCTGCTGCTGCTGATGCTGCTGCTGCTGTTGCGGCTGCTGCTGGGCTCACTGGTATCAGAGCGATCCATCCTGCTGCCTTTTCCGGTAGAGGCACTAGTGGGAGTGCACATGCTCACAGCAGTAGGAGACACAGCAGCAGGAAATGCTGCATTGGCAGAAGCTGTGGGAATTGAGGATGTAGTGTAGGCAGTGGTGGGGGATTGAAGGATGGAGGTGGCAGCGGTGGCGTCGTCTGTCTCAGCAGCAGGGGCTGCTGTTGCTGCTGCTGCTGCTTTTTCGTTTCTGCGCCGAGCAGCCCGCTGAGAAAACATTGCAGTGAATCGGGAAGTTCCTGGAGGCAGGAGGAGGGGAGAGAGAGGAGCGAAGGGAGAGCGAGGAGCGAAGGG